GTGGATTCTGTGCTTCTCCGCTCTTCCTCCAGACTCTGGGTCCTTGATTTCCAAAGGAAATGCAGAACTTGCTTTCATCAGAAAACATAACTTTGGACCACTCAGCATCAGTCCAGTCCTTTTTGTCCTTGGCCCAGGCGAGACGCTTCTTGCGCTGTTTCATGTTCAAGAGTGGCTTGACACACGGAATGCGATACCTGAATCCCATGTCTTTCATGAGTCTCCTCGTGGTGGTTCTTGAAGCGCTGACTCCAGCTGCAGTCCACTCTTTGTGGATCTCCCCCACATTTTTGAATGGGTTTGTCATCACAATTCTCTGCAGGGTGCGGTTATCCCTAGAGCTTGTACACTTTTTTTCTACCACATTTTTTCCGTCCCTTCGCCTGTCTGTTAATGTGCTTGGACACAGAGCTCTGCGAACAGCCAGCTTCTTTAGCAATCACCTTTTGTGTCTTGCCCTCCTTGTGCAAGGTGTCAATGATTGTCTTTTGGACAGCTGTTAAGTCAGAAGTCTTCCCCATGATTGTGGTGCCTTCAAAACAAGACTGAGGGACCTTTTAAAGGCCTTTGCAGGTGTTTTGAGTAAATCAGCTGATTAGAGTGGCAGCAGGTGTCTTCTATATTCAGCCTTTTCAGAATATTCTAATTTTTTGAGATACCAAATTTGGAGTTTTCATTAGTTGTCACTTATGAATATCAAATTTAAATGTAATGAACATTGGAAATACATTGGTCTGTGTGCATTGCATGAATATAATGTACAAGTTTCACGTTTTGAATGGAATTACTGAAATATTTTCAACCTTTTGATGATATTCTAATTTACTGGCCAGCACCTGTAATCCTACCTTTGAGTTTCAGAAGAGCTAACAATTTATAGATCACATGTTGCTGAAAATTGGCCAACAATTATCAGATGATTTTTTTCAAACATGATAAATTTGTTTGCATATAAAAATGTGTAATTAATTAAAAGGCCAATAATTATAAAATAATTTAATCTAAATGAGTAAATTTCAACTATTTTTTATTTCATTTATTATGCTATTTGATTCAAATAAGGTTTATTTCTATTATTACCTTTGTCAGTGCACTTAAAACCATATAAACATTTAAAATCAAGGTTTGTAATTGTTCCTATACAATTCAAAGATTGAAACTTTACTTTTTCCAAAGATTCAGTGAGTGTTTTTTTAAAGAATTAGAGATCAAACTATTTCTTGAAGCCCGATTTCATGTAGAATCTTCTATTCTGATTATTAAAAACAAGTGAAATAAATAAATTATGCCCAATTCCCTCTAAAGATTAGTTGAATCCGAAACTTGGAGCATTCATCAGACTGCTTGCTTCACTCTCTGCATGGCTAATGTGAATAAATAACGCAGAGTGAAATGCTTAATTAACGCATTGTTATATAAACATGTCAAGCAGCTGTGTTTGTTTCTTTGTATTGCAGCCTCAGATTCGGAGACTTTGTGGCTTCTTTCCTAAATGAACTGCTCTAATGTCATGAAACATGAGTCAAGAGTGTTGGAGCCGAGTCGAGGGTCAGCAGCCACTGTGGTCATGCACGTGAAGAAGATAAATGCCAGTTGAACTTAAAAATTCATAAAGCACCAGATTAGAGTCACTTCTATTTCACACACGAACAGATCAGTTTGGAAAAAGTAAAAACAAGTCATCTCAAATGTTACAGCTAAGATAGCAGATAGTGTTACTTTGTATTTTTCTCCTCACTATGTGAAGCATCCAATTTCCGCAGAAAGCAAAAAAAAAAAAAACATCTTTTTATTTGGTTTCTGTCTGCCAACTCATTCAGTTTCTGTTTCAAACACTATAAGGATGTAGACTTGACAGTTCCTCTGACATGTCCAGATCTGTCCTTTTTTAGTTGTTCTGCTGAATACAGACACAGTAAAAGTCTACTGCTCTTCATGTTACAGTCAACTTGTTGCCAGTTATTTAATAAATAAATCCAAATATGAACTTTACATTTTTCTCTTTGTTTAAATTGTGCAGATTATTTTCTCATACAGTCAGGTCCATAAATATTGGGACATTGATACAATGCTAACATTTTTGGCTCCACCACCACAATGGATGACAAATGAAACGAACAAGATGTGCTTTAACTGCAGACTGCCAGCTTTTATTTGAGGGTATTTACATCCAAATCAGGTGAACGGTGTAGGAATTACAACAGTTTGCATATGTGCCCCCCACTTGTTAAGGGACCAAAAGTAATGGGACAGAATAAGAACCATAAATCAAACTTATCATTTCAATACTTGGTTGCAAATCCTTTGCAGTCAATTACAGCCTGAAGTCTGGAACACATAGACATCACCAGACGTTGGGTTTCATCCCTGGTGATGCTCTGCCAGGCCTCTACTGCAACAGTCCTCAGTTCCTGCTTGTTCCTGGGGCATTTTCCCTTCAGTTTTGTCTTCAGCAAGTGAAATGCATGCTCAGTCGGATTCAGGTCATGTGACTGACTTGACCATTGCAAAAACAGTCCACTTTTTTCCCTTCAAAAACTCGTTGGTTGCTTTCGCAGTATGCTTTGGGTCATTGTCCATCTGCACCGTGAAGCGCCGTCCAATGAGTTCTGAGGCATTTGGCTGAATATGAGTATTTAATATTGCCCGAAACACTTCAGAATCCATCGTGTTGCTTTTGTCAGCAGTCACATCATCAATAATTACAAGAGAACCAGTTCCACTGGCAGCCATACATGCCCACACCATGACACTTCCAGCACTATGCTTCACTGATGAGGTGGTATGCTTAGGATCATGAGCAGTTCCTTTCCATGTCCATATTCTTCTCTTCCCATCCCTCTGGTACAAGTTGATCTTGGTCTCATCTGCCCATAGGATGTTGTTCCAGAACGGTGAAGGCTTTTTTAGTTGTTGTTTGGCAAACTCTAATCTGGCCTTCCTGTTTTTGGGGCTCACCAATGGTTTACATCTTGTGGTGAACCCTCTGTATCCACACAGGTGGAGTCTTCTCTTGATTGTTGACTTTGACACAGATGCACCTACCTCCTGGACAGTGTTCTTGATCTGGCCAACTGTTGTGAAGGGCGTTTTCTTCACCAGGGAAAGGATTCTTTGGTCATCCACTACAGTTGTTTTCCGTGGTCTTCCGGGTCTTTTGGTGTTGCTGAGCTCACCGGTGTGCTCCTTCTTTTTGAGAATGTTCCAAACTGTTGTTTTGGCCACGCCTAATGTTTTTGCTATCTCTCTGATAGGTTTCTTTTGTTTTTTCAGCCTAATGATGGCTTGCTTCACTGATAGTGACAGCTCTTTGGCTCTCATCTTGACAGTTGACAGCAACAGATTCCAAATGCAAATAGCACACTTGAAATGAACTCTGGTCCTTTTATCTGCTCAATGTAATTGGGATAATGAGGGAATAACACACACCTGGCCATGGAACAGCTGAGAAGAAAATTGTCCCATTTCTTTTGGTCCCTTAACAAGTGGGGGGCACATATGCAAACTGTTGTAATTCCTACACCATTCACATGACTTGGATGTAAATACCCTCAAATAAAAGCTGACAGTCTGCAGTTAAAGCACATCTTGTTCGTTTCATTTGATATCCATTGTGGTGGTGTATAGAGCCAAAAATGTTAGCATTGTGTCGATGTCCCAATATTTATGGACCTGACTGTATTTAAAAACTACAAATTATAGGCACAATATGCACAAATTCTATAGTGAAATATTCACAAAATAGTCGAATCTCTCAATCGTGTTGGAAGGAATGTTACTTTAAAACAAATTTCTTTCTCGGCTGGCTGGGGAGCTTGTCAGCTTATCTCCTCTTAAAAAAGCTAAAGAGGGACGTAGTCTTTGTTTACTTTAGCTGTTTTTACAGGACCATAGCGTTTGCAAAACGGGATTTGCCGCGGCTCCCTGGGGAGGATTTTGGCATTAATAGTAGCAAAGCTGAAGCTAGAATAAATTGCCATCAGGCACCTCTCAAACCAAGATGGGATATACCAAGACGTACAGGGTTGCGCATTCAGCTTCAGAGGGAAGACACGTCAGACTGATGAAATTTATTTTTCAGGACCTTTAGCTTTGATGCAACCTGCTTTTTGTCCCGCTTGACGCCCCGCTCAGCCAGTGTTTTCACCACTCTGTCGAACAGCTGGCTGTTTCTCACTGTCTCCGTAAAAAGGCGACTAATCTGTTCGTCCGCTCGCACAACCAAAAGCTCCATGGTCTCGCGTCCGTCCGTCCGGCTTTCCTTCCGGCCGGGACCTGGCGCGCAGTATACGTGACTAACGCGACCACCCTATTTTGCAGGGGGGCCTCCCAGTCGCTCCAAAGGGATTAGCGGGGCTGACACGCGTTTTGCCGTCAGAGGCGAGGGGTTCTTGCAGCAATATTACTACCAAGCGAGGCGGAACGAATGCCGCAACATTCACGCAACGCCATGCCGGCATGGCGTGTTTATAGACATACCATTGCGTTAATATTAAGCCGATTTGCCAGCATGGTGTGTCTTATAAAAACACCTAATCTGTGAACTTGCAGGGTTACAGAGTCAGTGCTGGCATTTGTAATTTGACACCAGCCAGCAAAACACAGAAGTGTATGTAAAGAACCAAAGCCACCAAACAGGAGCAACCCAGAAGTTATTTCTTGTTCCCCTAGGCATTTTTTTATTTTACTATAATATCACTTAAAGACTAGAGGCTAACGTTGAGCTAGCAGTGAATTAAAAACACAAGCTATTTTTCAATTATCAGCAACTCAATATTATAGTGAAATGTATTTATCTACTTATCAGCTAAGCATGACTCGTCGTCGCTCATCATTAAATCATTTGGCGCTGAGCCGCCATGAAACTCACAGAACGAGAGTGAGATAGTGACTAGTGTGTTTCTAAAAACAGGCTGCAGTAACCAAATGTGACCACACAATGTCCTTACTTCGTTCTTATGTTGTACACCTTTAAATAAGAGATTAAATATGATTCTAACCTCTGGCATCAAAGAACTCTTCGTCAGAGCTTTCCACTGATTCTTGCGCGATATTCTGCAGACACCAGTGAGTGGCACTGTGCTTTCGTGCTGAACCTGTGAAAGAAGAAAATAAAAATCAGCCTTTAGTGTTTAGGGATGACAGGCAGGGTCGTGCCATTAATCACAGAACCCATGGGACATTCAGATCAGGCTTTATGGTGGGTTTTTTCTATCTTTGTGTCAGCCTGTTGACAGCTGCAAAGATCCACAGGGAGAAGAGAGTGTGGGAGCCTCGGGTGGAGGTAGATGGTTTCTTAAATGTTTCCTCAGGAGAATAGTGGACAAGTGGCTAAACAGGGGATACAGGAACTGATTTTTATCACATCAGATTCAATGGGAGAGTTGAAAAGGGCATTTTTTTTATTTTAGGAAAAAATATCACCCTAGAGAAGCCAATTGTCCCATTACTTTAAAAAAATAATATTTCTCAATCTTCATCTTTTCATGGCATAACTTACTTCTCATAACATTATGACCAAGGTGACATAAAAGCCATAATCTTGTTCCAAACTCATCAGATGGTCTGATTTATTAGACACTGAGTGAACAAACAGTATTTTTTTAATATGTTGTAAAAATGAGGTAAAGAGTAAGAATTTAAGTGATTCTGGCAAGAGACTAACTGTAAAAAACCAGCTAGGTTTTATTATATAATACATCTCTTGAGGGATCTGCTGTTGCCAAGAAAGAAAACCGAAGAACTGGCCAGGAGGTCACAGGAAGCCGAGGCTCAATGATTCACGCACAGGCTGGGCAATCAAAGTGCTAAAGCTGTAAGAAATACTAGAAAAGAGATTTAAGCTTGTTCTGATGTAATCTGCTTTTTATTAGTCACTCATTTTAACAGGAGGATATTTTTCTGTTCATAAAGTTTCTCGTGTTAGAGTCCTGGACAAAAATGCAGCAAAATTGCACAAAGTGCTTGACTATTTGAATAGCTGCTGCATTACAGAATACTGGACTAGAAATAAATACAAAGTAACTTTGTGGAGCTGTAGCCTACACTCATTTGGTACCTTTGACCAATAACCATGCAGAGGGGACAGAATGGGAATGCAGAATGTGTGTGAGAATGGGGGGGCTGAAAAGGAAGGGAAAAGACAGGAGGGGAAAGGAGGTGAAGTTGTTTGCTGCAGGCATCCAAGAGTCCAACACAATTCACTTTTCCCTACTACGTACTTCTCCGTGAGATGAGTCACAACATGGTTGACCAAAAATGCAAGCAAGTACAGAAAAACTAAAATGCAGAAAGGAGTGAGCTTCATTTTAAGCTAACTCTCCCATTCAGAAACAGAAATGTGAGTTGATTAAAAACATTTCAGCTGTATGTGTGAAGTATTATCTCAAAAACTGTTGACTTATGTAATCAGTTTCTTCTAAAATATTTTATAGTCACACACATAAATTTATAACAACTAAAGTTTAATTTTCTGGTATTTTACAAGTCAATGCAGTAATATTAAATTTCCATTTCACACGTGAGAGTTCAAATAGCTCTTCATAAATAATGCTATGGTGTGTGTTTTTTTTGGAGAGCATGCATACACTGCTGTTGTACCATCATTTCCTCCACGCTGAATTTTTTAACAGTTTCCAGCCACATTTTAAAACTTCATCTCTTCTGTTTTCTTATTCACTGATGTTCCATTTTTAGTTGTTCCGAGTTGTGAGAGAGAACTGACACAGTGAAAAGGCCTCGGCAATAACCACCATGAAGCTGTGACTTCCTCCTGGCAATGCTCCATTGTTCAGAAGCTATTAAGAAGAATTTTCACACTTTCTCCTTAGCCTTGAAACTGCTTTATTAACACTTTCATCCACGGAAGTTATCTGATGATACAGATATTTCGGTAACACTCTGATTTTCTGTTCCATTTAATATTTCTTCTTATTATATTCAGCATTTTTGTCATGCAGGTTGCAGCAAGCATTCACGGGAGCCTCCAGCACTACCCTGCTGCTAAAACGACCTTAGTTACAGAAAACTGGCAACTCACCAGATTTTATGTCAAGGTGACTCAACACATTCTGAGCATTAACAATCACCAATATAAGCTGAAAGTCTTTGCAAACTTTAATCCTGCAGATGTTCTGACCATCAGGAAACTGTTCTGTAGAGCAGTGTTTCCCAACACTTCTCCTCAGGGCACATTGGCCTGCATGTTTTCCATGTCTGCTTCAGCACACCTGAATTACATTCCCTCCTCAGGAAGACATCAAGTGCTGTGGATTCCTGTTAATCACTCATTCATTTAAGTCAGGTGTGTGGCAGCAGGGAAATACTGGTGTTTAAAAGGGCCACATGGAAAACATGCAGGACAGTGTCCTACAGGCCTATTGTCTTGACGTCAGTCATATGCAAGGTGATGGAGAGTATGGTGACCACTAGGTTGGTACATTTCCTAGAAGGAACCGGGCACTTTGAGCCTTATCAGAGTGGCTTTCGGTTAGGGCGCTCGACGATGGACACTGTCACGCGTCTGGACTTGGATGTACGGAAAGCCCTGTCCAATAAGGAGGTGGTGGTGGCGGTGTTCTTGGATATTGAAAAGGCGTATGGCATGATGTGGTGGGAGGGTTTGTTAAAGGCCCTTCATGGGGCTGGGGTGAGGGATAGAATACTGAGGTGGATTGGGGATTTCCTGAGTGACAGGACAATGCAGGTGAGGGTGGGATCGACCCTGTCTAGGTCGGTGACTGTAGAGAATGGGGTCCCTCAGGGTAGTGTCATCAGTCCGCTTCTTTTTAATATTTTATTTAATGGAATGTCTGGCTCGTTGAGTGTCGGAACGAGTAGATTCTTGTAAGCTGATGACGGAGCCTTTTGGGGAAGGGGACGGAACCTGCCCCATGTGATACGTAAGATGCAGGACAATCTGGACCGGGTTGAGAGGTGGGCGAGGTGTTGGGGTGTTAAGCTGTCAGATTCTAAAACAAAGTACATGATATTTAGACTCAGGAGGAAATGACCGGAGGAGGAGCTGAGGTTGGGATCACAGAGACTGGAGAGAGTGGCCTCGTATAAGTATCTAGGTATGTGGATGGATGAACGGTTGACATGGAGGGTTCATGTGACAAATCTAGTGAACAGGTGCACTAAGGTGCTGAATGTCATGCGGTGTTTGGCTGGGACGGACTGGGGGGCAGATAGGTCCACCCTGCTGATGGTTTACAGGGGTGTGGTGCGCTCAATCCTGGATTATGGATGCATTGTGTATGGCTCTGCAGCCCCCTCGACCTTGCAGAGGCTGGATATGGTGCAGGCAACTGCAATGAGAGTATGTAGAGGGACCTTTCGTACGACCTCTGTGCCGGCACTTCAGGTGGAGGTGGGAGAGATGCCCCTGGAGTATCGTTGGGTCAAGCTGGGACTGCGATACCTGATAAGGGTACGGGGCATGGTGGATGCGGCTGTGGCACCGGGTTTGCTGGAGGAGCTGTGGTAGTTTGGCGGCAGGAAAGGGCGGGGAGGCTTTTTGGAAAGGCTCAGGGGACATGTGGGTAGGTTGGATCTCCTGGGTTGGCCAGTAGATTCACATTTGGTAAGGTCGGATGTTCCGCCATGGCAGTTGCCTGACCCATAGGTGGATATGACTCTCTTAGGGCAGGGCAGGGGGGAGAGGTCAGGTGGAGGAGGTAGAGGAGTACTTGAAGACAGGATGGTCCTCGTGCCATTATACACGGATGGCTCTAGGGATCCTGAGAGTGGCAGGGCTGCGGTGGGATTTGTGATTCCTAGCTTGTGGCACGTGTTTGGTAGCCGGTTACGTGACCCCAGTTCAGTGTTCACGACAGAAGTGGTGGCTATACTGCGCGCCTTAAGGTGGGTGGGGGAACATGGGCCAATGAGGGCGGTCGTGTGCACCGACTCGGCGGCAGCGTTGAGAGCGGTGGCAGATATGAGCTCTGGCTCTAGGCCGGATCTGCTAGTCTCCATACACCAGTTGCTCTGTGAACTGCAGAAACAGGGCAGTGTTGTGGGGATCGTTTGGGTTCCCGTCCTTGTGGGAGTGGATGGAAATGACGAGGTGGATCAGGCGGCGAAAGGTTCCATTAGGAACGACACAGTGGGACTGGATGTGGGTATGGGGTCACCTGAATACTGTGCGGCGATCTGCCGGAAGGTCAGACGCTTGTGGCAGGACTCTGGTTGACAAAGCAAAAGGGTAGGAGCTTTTATGATCTACAGGGGATGGTGGGTGAAGGAAGGATAGATATAGGATGTGGGAGGAGGGATGAGGGATGAGGTCGTGCTGACCCGTTTGAGGCTGGGACATTGTGGACTGGGATGTGGCCTGTTCCTGATGGGCAAACACCCAGATGGGAGATGTGTTTGTGGGGAACCGGAAACGGTCTCCCATGTATTGCTGAGCTGCCGAAGGTACGAGGATGAGCGGCGAGTCCTGTTTGAGATGTTGGGGCAGTGTGGGGTGGAAGTGTTCAGTCTCCGGACGTTGTTGAAGGCTCAGGATAAACAACGTGTGAAGCTGTTGATGGACTACTTGCGCACAGTGCACAGTATATAGCAGGAAGGCGTAGACGTAGCTGTAGCGTGTGACATTGCAAAGGCAGCAATACGCCTATAAGGCGTCTAAGCTGCTGGATTTCCATAAAGAAGAAGAAGAACATGCAGGACAGTGTGCCTTGAGGACCAGGGTTGGGAAACATTGCTCTAGGGCACATGTGTCAGACACAAGGCCCGCAGGCCACATCTGGCATTTTTATGTGGCCCGCGAGATAAATTTAAAAAATATATTAAAACTGACCCACTGGCTGATTTTACCACAAAAACTACAACTCCCATGATGCTTTGTGGCGTTAGCGCAGAGCAGAAGCACCCCCTCCTTTGTGTTTTTTCCAGCGTCTGCTGCCAGTGTCTGCAGCTCCGCTGTCTCGGACAAACTAAACACTCCTCTCACTCAGCGCCGAGTTTACTCAGCTATTTGCCGATGTTGAAGCCCAGAAACGGAGATTTTAACCGCTCAGTAATGTGTTAATGACTGAAAGAGAAAGTTTTCCAACTAACTTCCAGACAGAGCTGATATAACTCCAAG